AGAACTGTTTAAATAATCAAAGGAAGGAATTCTGCCAAATTAACTTTACTGGTGACTGAGCTTATTTTATTAAATCAATATTTTGCATGAATCTCATCTGGGTTGATATCTTTTCCCTACTCTCTCTTCTTTCTTCAAAGCATATCAATAAGGGTATCTTCTGTCAGGGCACAAGAGATGCTTGTGTTGTGATGCCTGGCAGATATTAGTGATGGAAACAAAACAAGTACAGGAATCTGAGTGTTGAAATTTCAATTGATTCTGCTGTAGTAGCCAAGAGCACACCCTGGGATGGCAGTCCTCCAGTGTGAAAGGGTGAAGGTATGAGTCAGTGGAGATTAGGAGGAGACACTTGTCTTTTAGTCAACTCCCACATCAGTTCACCACAGAAATCCCTTAAGTGCAAGTGCACAACCTTACCTTTCTAAATCTCCTCTTAAGGAGGGGAAATCCAGGGGGCCTTCTGCCTAGAAAACCCACCACATCCATGGATTTCACACCTTTTTAATTTTCAGGCCTCTCCATTTTTTTCCAGTGGATTGTGGCCTCCTGCACAGCCTGAAATCCTGCAGCGGCAGCAGCCTCCCCTTGCAGAGGTGCTCCAGCACTAGGCAGAGGCTGGCCAGGGCAGCTGTGAGGAGATGGTGGGGAAGTCTCACCTCTGAGAGGAAGGAATAGCACATCTTGTAGCAGGTCAATATTGCAGTGAATTTTTGCACAATGTCAGAAAGACGTACACTGAGAGTAGATGGTGATACGATGGTGAAGTTGTTCATGAAAGCAGCTTTCCAAAAACACAGAAGATGCACAGGGCTTCACAGGTGATGCACAGAAGAAATTTGTCATTTATTGGTATTTATGTTTGCTGGAAGACAGATACTGCACTGATAAGTTTTTTCTTGTGAGACATCACAGGGGTAGAGAAATAATAAACCCACTTTATTTCACATGATATTGAAGATCTGATCATTTAGGTTCAAATCATAACAAAGGAAAAAATCTAACCAGAAACAGAACATCTTGTCTTTGCCTGTGGAAAATTTTGACAGTAAAGAGTTGAGCAAAAGGCCTTCAAACTTCGTAGGGAAACCCTTGTTTTCCAGAGGCTTTTTTATATTTTCTGCTCTTTATTGAATGAAAGAGCTTAAACTTAAAGACAGGTGCATCTCTTGAATCTCTTTTACTGATGTCAGTAGTTATAAAACTGCAGCAAAAAATGACAAAAACTTTCATTCTTTCCTCATGTCCTTTAAGTTCAGACACTTTGGTAAAAGTAGATAAGTAAACTCATATGGTTTAAGTAATCTTTTGAAAAATCTCTTTTTTTTTTTTTTTTTAACAAGCTAGGTTAATTTCTGTGTTACCTGACTCTCTGAACAGACCAGTAGTCATTAAGAATGACCTTTTTTTCTATTACTATGTTTTCATTCAACAGCTGAGTCTACAGCCATTATCTGGCTGAGTGGCATGAAAATTATGTGGTTCAGTTGTTCGTCAATAGAAGATTTATCTGACAAATACTTTCCTAAATCAGTGTTCCATCATCAGTGCCACTCCTTCAGGTGCCATTTTATCAGGAAGTGTCGCAATGAGAAGAAAGAACAAGATCCTCTCCTACTGAGACACGAGCAAAACAGTGGGTGAAAAGGTGCAAAAGAAAGTCTCTCAGCACAGCAGAGGGCTGCCATGGAGGCATCAGCCAGTGCTTGGTATAGTTCAGCCTGTGTTATACTCAATTCTGATTTTAACAGAATGAGCTAGACCTCTCTCACATGGAAGTCTGAGGCCAACCCTAATATTCTGCATTTGGTATTTTTGGAATTCCTGTTTGTCTGCTATGGGGGAAAGGTCAGACAATTTTCCAGTAAGTTATTATTGCTCATCAATTTTTATTCCTGATGAGCGAGGATGCTTCATACCATAAATCTTTGACTGGTCCAGGCTAAGTGTTGCCACTCCTGGGCTTCCAGCCAGCATAATTTTGTAGGGAGAAATTATACAACTTGATGAGAAAGAAGTAAATAGTCCTGTGTTAGCAGCTATTTGAAATAGCAGCTGTTTAAGGCTATGCAGCAACGGGGGTTATTAGCAACATTACTGCACCAACCGTAGGTGGTTACCATATGCACATATTGCCACACGCTGTGTCCTATTTGTCTAATGTGAAACTTTTCATCCACTGGTAAATGTGATGGGGATAATTATAGTGGTCACTGCTACAGTACTTGAACAGATTTTGGTAATCAGTCTCCATGCAGTATGGATATGGGATGTGGATAAGGAGGAGATGAGTGTTTAGCCTTTCATATTTTGTACTCTTCAGGATCACAGTTGTGTCCCCTATTCTTAATACCGATACAGAGAACTGAGTTTGTGCCGTTGTCTGCATGGACCCACACACAGGTCTGGGTGTGATGGGGCTGGAGGGCAAGCTGAGGGTCAAATATCCATGAGAAAAGTAAATGAAAGCAGCACAAACGTGTTTGCAGGTCTCACGTGGACAGCAAGTGAAAGAGATGATGCAGGTTTTCATTCCTACACCTTCCTTCTTATTTTATGTCAAAGAAACTAATACAAGACCAGTTGTTTATTTTCACTTTTCCACCCAGACCCACCTACCTTGTTGCCATTTTATCCCCCAGTCACTAATGCAAGCTGCAGGATATAATGAACCGTGATCCAGCAACTCTAAGGACAACTAGATCTAGATACTCTTTAGTTTAGAAAGCTTGGTTCTGTCCTTTCTCAAGAAATTGTAATGGGTTTTTTTCCCTTAGTCTGAGTACTGTGATGAGAGATAAAATGTAAACACCTCAATTTAAAGGAAATATATTATTTTAAAGAATATTAAAAAAAAAATCATAAATTAATTTTTTCATCCCTCTAGGACTTCTACATAATATGTAAGTTGTCTTCACCGGTGCAGGAATAGAAAAAGGGAGCAATAACAAATTTTATACATGTTGAAAAGAGAAAGGAAAACAAGACAGAATGTTTCCTCAAAGATGTATTGCAGCCAAAAAGTTTTCTTTTCTCTTTTGTTTGGAAATTTACACATTTCCTTTAGTAATTAATGCAACCTTATTAAACAATATAACATGCTGAGCATGCGTAAGGCATGAGGATATAAAACCAAGTTAAGTAAGGGATTATGATTTTCGAAGTGAATTTATTTTTTACATCAAAATTAGTAGAGGTTTGGGTCTCCCTAAACTGAGTTCTCTGACATTTTAAACTTGCAGAAATAGCCATTTTATTTTCTTTGTATGAAGTCAATACTTTCAAAAATATTCACATGTACTTGGACTCAGTCCCCTGAATTATCCTTTGCTTGGGAGAGACTACATATTTTATTAAAACAGCGGCATTTTGATAAAGCAAAACATTTGCCCTAGCATCTGCTTAAAAGAATAATGAGAGAAATATACAAATTTAATAAGGACACGAACCTTTTCTTTTGGCTGCATAAGGAAACCTGGCCTTTCACATCAGAAATTATTTTTGGCCTCTGGAAATTTGGACCACCTCCTCTTACCCCAGTTTGCAGCTGCCGGGCTAACCCAGCTCTTCCAGGAGTGCTGCCCACTCCCTTCTGCGTGCTCATCACCAGTGCGTTTACCCCGGCTGCTCACCTGCCTGCCTGGGCACCAGCCAAGCCCAAACGCTCTCCTGACCTGTCTGCGCAGCCATCTGGAAGGGGGCAGATGCCATTATTCAAAAGTACTTTGGTAGATGGCTTTAGGAGCACGAAAAGCTCCCAGCAGGAGCACAGACCATGCCACGTGGTTGGTAAAGCATCTGTCCTTGAAGAAAATGCTGCCTGTCTCAGACAACAAGCACAGAATACGTATGAAAAATGAAGAGGAATACAGTGCCTTGGGGTGGGATGGTGCCATGGTGTTTTTCCAGCTGCTCCCACAGGGACAGCAGCACCTTGAGCAATACAGCTTCTTTACCCTTTGCTTCTTACCCTGCACAAAGGACAGCTTCTTCCCATCTCTTGGTAGTCTTACATTGGAAAACATTTCACAAAGGGAGGGATGAAAATCGATAAGGAAGGCAAAAAGTCAAAGCAAATGCAGCATGTGGGAGGAGAGATTGTCAGTTCCATGTCTTTAAGTAAATGCTGGGGGGAAAAAAAAAGATCTTTCCTTCATGACCCTGACTGCTGTCTTGGAGCATAGGGTGGAGTGTTTAATTCTGTCTGCAGCCCTGCTCCCTCCCTGCGTTTTCTGTGGTACCTGTGGACATGTCTGCTAATGGTGGCAGTGATGACAGCTGTTAACTGGACAGTGTTTTGACACTGCCAAATCCTTCCGCACAGGTCACGGTCTGCCTGGTGGTAAATGGCAGTTGAAAAGCTCTGTGTAACACATTAACAAATTATTTTGCTGTCCAGACCTCGGAAATATTTTAAAAGCCTTGTTTGAAAGCTCGAGCTTTTCTGCTTCACAGCCCATTGTTTCTTGTCTCATGGTAATGAATTAACTCTAAGTACGAGTTACACCCCAGGGAAATGGTAGGCAGGGGTCATCCGGGGTGTGACCTATGTAGGAAAGATGAGACTCCTTCCTGTGAAGCCCTCATGAAGTTGCCTTTGGAATATTTACCAACCACCCATCTCACAGGCAACAGCGGGATTTGGGCCTATCTTTTTATAGTGAGTAGTCAGTTGTAAAGGCGTTGATCTCAGTGTAGTTATTAATTGATACCGGTGCAACAAAAACACCATTTGCCCGAGATGTTATGGAAAGATGACAACCAACAGACTGAACAGATCTGTTTCTCAGTGATCTCTCAGGCTGGGGAGGTACCCAATCTGTCCGTGCTGCTTTGGGCCATCTGAGCTTCCCTTGAGAATTTAGATTTCTATTTAAGTTGCATTTAGTTTTTATTCATACTGGTTTTGAATATGTTTCATGTATTTTTCTTTTCTTTTTTTTTTTCTCTTTTCCTGCAGTAATAGTAAAAATCTGTTTTTCTTCCCTAACTATGTGCAGGCTGGCATGGCTTTGACTTACGATCCAACAGCTGCTATACAGAATGGGTAAGAAATGCATGTTTTCTTATGGTTTTTTTTTTTAAGTTATTTTGAATGTCATCATATGTTTTATTTTCTGTAGTGAAACTTTTTTGAAAAGCAAATCCACTCAGTCATATTTTGTCTGAAGCATATAATGTTATATTGTCAAGTTCTTCTTTAGTTTTCCTTTTCTTTTTATGCCTTCTTCCTTGCAATATCCATTTGAATGGGAAGTTGTTTTTCCTAATAGTTTCCATCTCTATTTGGCAAATGTTAGTAGATATCTTTTTAATCTCTCTCTGTCATGAAGTGGAAACCAGTAAAGTTTCCCTTTACTGACTTGGCTTTTGTTAAAATAATCATTGACGATTCCAACGTATTTTGAATAATAGAGCTGTTACTTCATCTGGGGTTCTTTCTGCAGGCTGGCTGCCTTCCATGGCATTGTCTGAATAAAAATGCCAGATAGGGAGAAAGCCTTAAATTAGTGTGTAAGCAGATGGGATTTAAGGGTAAAATTCTGAGCAACACTCTTCTTTATTTCTCAGCTACCATTTGCTGACACGAGGAATTGCAATTTTTTCTCTAATTGAGCAGTGAAATTACATCATCTTATTATTTACCTGCATGATTACATTTCCAATTATTTCATAAACTAGAAAAAGATATCCTTGAAATTTAGCTCTCTTTTCAGCTAGGTTAACAAGAATTTGAAAAGAGGCAGGAAGTTCAGCCCTTTGACAGTCACTCTTTGATCAGAGAGATGTATGATATGATTATTGAATTCCATGCGTGCTCCCACCTGGGTTCTCCAGCTGAAGGGGAGAATTTATTGATACAGATAAGAATGGGCTTATTTGTTAGATATATGTTAGGGCGCTGCTAGTTGAAGCATTTAGGACAAAAACCCTAACACTCACAGTATTTTTTAAAAATCAATATTAATAGTCTATTTTGCTTAATTTTCCTTTACAAGCAGTAATTTTGTAGAACTTGTGATATTCCTGTGTTGTACTCCAGTGGAGTAAGAGGCCAAACTCAGAAGAATAGAGAGATTGTAATTGTGATTTCAGAATTCTCTGCTTCTGTTTCCCTGTTCTGACCTCCAAATGAGTCATTCTTCTCTATTGTCATACTTTTCAGCTGGTAAATGTTATATTCTATAAATAAAAACATCACTGATTCATAATCCACCAGTGTTTCATGTGGACAACTGGCTTTATTTTTCATATAAATTCCTGCATGTCACTTGTGTGAGTGTTTTGGAAACCATCATTTGAATGATCCGTGGAGACTAATATGATTTTAATTCAAGAATAATTCTTCTGAAATTATGAAAGTTATCTCAGAATCAGACATTATTTATATCAAAGAATACCTGTGGTGTGCAGGCTGCTCAGGTGGTTTGGTCACTCAATTGCTTGAACATGCTGTCACTGATCATTGGGTAAAGAAATTGTACTCAATGGAGAATTTCAGTTCTACAGTTTTTTAAATATTCTTTTGTTTTTAAGGCAAGAGATAAATTAAATCACAGTACCAGATAGCTCTCTAAGAGTGACAATTAATTACTACTTTGACATATGTCTTTTTTCTAAAGTGTCAAAATATTTTCAGTTTTATCAGGACTAAGCCACCATTCAAAATGCTGTTGTGGTGAGGTCTTGATTGTGTGCAGCATCATGAGGAGCACCGGGACCCTTTTTGTTCAATGGAATTTTTTTTATCTCTCCAGACATTCACACAGTAATCTCTACATGCCCTGTAGTTTTAATTTTTTTCTGCTTTAAATAAGACTCTTTTACTTGCAAGCACAGTGAAAATCTAGCTCAGGAGTTTTATTTCAGTAGAGTCTGGGAGCACCTCGATGCTTGGCTTGTGGAATGTGTCAATGTGATCCATTGCCTGCTGACACAAGATACATGCCACGGTGAGAGACTTAAAGGGGCATCTTCCTCATGGGCAGGGCAGTGTGGAAAAGTGAGCACAAAGCTGAATCTATGCCCACACCCACCCTTGTGCTTAAAAGGGACCAGAATATTTTGGCTGTAATGTGGACCGAGCCACTAAGGTTTTCATGGAGCGATGTCACCCAAAGACCAGTGGAACAAAAGCCTTTTCCTCATAGCATTCAGCTGGGGCCACCATGGTGGAACTTAGTGAACTGAGTCTGGGGATGAGAAATGTAAAGATACCAAGTCAAGGTGATGATTCAGAAGCGTTATGTAGCACTAACAAAATTTAAAAAGAAAGATTAACTGCACATGCTGGCATTCTCTAGAGCTCTTTGTAGGGTTGGTAGATGCATTTGGATGCATCTAAATTGCTAAATCCACACAGCATTATGAGGATGATGGAACCTGGTAGAGAAACACGTCTCTGCAGCAGGTGTCATGGGGTGGTATTTAAAAGTTGCAGCTCCTTAAGAGGTGTGGATTATATTTGGTTTTGAGTTGGGCCATAGCCAAACCGCAGGGAAGAATCTTGACTCTCGTTTCCAAATGAAAAGGTAGGTTCTTATTGTTCGCGGTGTTGTACTATCACTTTTATTACCGCATAACTGCATATTTGTCTTGAAAATCTATAGCAGGAATAAAACAAAAGAGAGTGTGAAAGAGGCTTTAACTAAAAATGACTATGATTTTTTTCCCCACTAAGGAATAGATGATTTTCTTCTGAGTCTATTACATTGTAAAGCTTGATTCTCCATTTCATTATATTGTTTTTATGCCCATGTAGCTCTGTTTAAGCATCCAGTGGAGTTACATCAGCATAAAACTGGTATAATGGAGTGGAGAATCCAGCCTGTAGTGTACCATAGCATTGCAGTATGAGGTACTGAAGATTTGGTAAGCACACACTTCAGTAGCTAAGATCTTTTCACTTGGCAACCACTCTGCTTTTTATTTTTTTCTTTGTTTTATAATCAGCCTTTTCTGAATTGTGTTTACAAAGGTACTCAGGTTTTATTTTAGAGAGTAGTGTGCCTGTTGTGATATGCTATTGATTTTTCAATTTGTGGCATTAACATTGTTTTAGTAGTTTTATGCATTCATACAAGGAACATAGAGCTCTTTTACTTGCACTGTAAGGAAGATCATTTAAAGTGTTCCTGAGGCTGGAATCCTCCTGGACATTTGACTAAGATTTCCATGTACTGAATCAGTTTAGTATCTCATATCTGGGGGACAGTTTGGTGCATTTGCTGGCCAATGGGCTCAGTATTCAGATAGGTCTTTTCCAACTCCAACATCTGACTGTGTGCCTTGTTGCAATAGAAAATTGCTGTCTTGATAATGTTTGGTAATACTCTTACATTATGTGAGCCCCAGGATACTATTTATGAATCTAACTTTTTCAGTACTGCCTGCAGGCACGAGGCATGAGCAAATGGTGTTTATTGCAGTGCAAATAGGATCTTGCTCTTGTGCAGATTCTGTCTGGAAGCTTGCACATTCCCCAATAGAGTGGGAACCATATGGATTTTTTTTTTCCCACTTTTTGGCAGGAAACAGTGACCAGACACTGCAGATAATGCAGTCCCCAAATGCGAAGGGAGGGTTGGTGTAGTAGGGGAGTATGTGCTTTGTCTGTTAAGCAACAGAAACTGTTGTTAAAGTGCTGCCTCTGTGTGCCTGATGATGTACTGGAAATACGCTTCTTTTTAACATGCCTGAAAAATGTGTTCTTTTGAGCCCCTTATAAAACCCCTTCAGGAACTCCCAGGAGCATCTTTTTGCCTACTAGTGATGAGTTTCCCCTTTGCTTATGGAATCTATGCATGCTGAAAAAGTCTATTTTTAATACAAGGGTGATGTCCATTTTGCCTTGCCCTTGCCACCTGCATGCACAACCTGCATGCTGGTACTCGTATCATTGCAATTGCAGCTGAGGAGCAGGAACACTGTCTTGCAGCTGCAAAAAACTGCACAGACCCATGTAAGGGTGCAAACTGCATTCGCAGAAAATGCAGCTGAGCCTTCTGGAGAGCTGTCCTTAGAGCTCACAGGTCAACCACGTCACAAAACCTCATAATACCTAGTGCACCGTACACTGTGCATTTTAATGCCGGGAAACTTGGAGGCACAATTTAATATATCTAAAACAAGTCAAAGTCAGAATAATTCATATCTCTTTCCACTCCTCTTTCTGATGCAGATATTCTGATGACTGAGTCCTGTGTTTCCTTGAATGAACTTACAACATGCTTCTTCCACCTCATTTCACCTCCTAAAGAAAAAAGAAAGAAGGGAAAGCCTAAGACTGAATATAGGAAGGTCCTCAGCTGCAAATCTTGTCATGCTGTAGGGTTTGTGCCAGAACAGGCCACTCTGTTTTTGTGGTTTTGTTCCCCTTGTCTCTTGCTAGATCCCAGCGTGCCACTTACACCAGTGACATATGAGGATATTAGCCAATTTGTATATAAAGGGAATTTAGGGGGAGATCCCTCGGCGTCCCGTGGGTGAGAGTGTGTTGAGCACTCTTTGTCAATGAGCTCTGCCCTGGCAGCAAATGACTGCAGCAGTGCAGTAGGTTGAGCATCCCATACCTGAGGGTGGCTCTGCTTGACTCCATCCCCAGCAAGGACACCTCTATGCTCACTGCACCGCTGTACTTCACATGCGGCAGAGACATCCACATCCTTCATTATTAGATCCTTTTGGCCACCAGTGGCACTGAGGAAATAAGACAAGCCTTTGTCTCTTGATGTTAGAAATTTCTGACTGCAAAATGATCTTTTTGCAGCCTGTTGCAGTGACTGAGATTGTTACGCTTGATATTTTTATTATTATTATTATTATTATTATTAGAATTTAAATATATGAACTGGATTTTCTTGCATTGTCACTTGCAGCACCAGAGTTTGTTCCTTTCCCTTCCTTGGTGCCCTTGTGGATGAACTTTCCCAATACACCTGAGTGTCCTGGTAGGATGTTTTATTTGATGCTTATTTGAGAGCATTCCAAAAGGCGACAGATAAATGGTATTGGCAGGGCTGTTGGAAGGGCTGTATTTTCCACATTACCAGAGTATGTATTCTACAGGCTTGTGTACTATTCAGATAAATGCATCTCTAAGCTGAAACTGAAATGGCAAGCTGTCTGTCAAATTCTTGGCTTAGCACACATTTTCTGTAAATTTGTTAGTATTTGCTGGGATTTATTGGAGGGTTTATTCCAAAGAGTCAGCACTACTTCCAAACGGAAAGTCGTTTCTTCCCTGTACTTGTCTTTGTCCGAGCGGTTCATACATGGTTATGAGTATGAGCTCAGAGTCAGTGCCAGGTTTATGAACAGAATGAGAAAAGAATGAACAAAAATGTGTGTTTTTCTCAAAGGAGTTTTGGTCTTCTATTATCTTTCACTTTAGGAGGTTTATATGTATTTCTATACACTACCCACAGTCTAGAATCTTTCAGTCTGACGTTGACTATTTTCATTTGCTGCACACAACATTTCGTAGCTGACCCACTTAGCAAGAGCATAGCCCAGGTGATTTCTGGTTAACATTGATCTGGGAGAAGACCCCTGTAAAAGGAATTAGATAATATGCAACATGTTAGTGCCACAGATGAACCTGCCTAGTGGTGTAAAAATCCCTTCTCCCTCGATGTATTGTGAACTTAATATTTGGTGAAAGTATGGGGATACAAATGCCTCTAAATTCTCATAATAGGATATATATAAAATTGGGCAAAGGCACAATTTTAAAATAGTCTCAGTGCGAGCATTGTGAGGGCAGATAAATGGTCCTAAAATAGCATTATATTTCTATTAAACAAAAAATCACTCATATGCCACCTGCTGCTTTTGGCATTTTAAAATCTGATTTGGAATAGAAAGAACAAATGATTGCTTCTCTGTCTCCCTCTCCCCTCCTAACTTTGAATGTTTCTGCCCAACGTTCAGAGAGAGCAGCCTGTTTTTCCAAGGCTATTGGTTGAAGTCGATGGTTATTTGAGCCTGCATCCAGAATGAGTGCATCCAGTCTGAACTAGACTGATTAGTACTAAATCTGTGGTGCCAGGGTGATCAGGAAATAGAGCACTTGTTTAAACACCAGTAATGATTTTTTTGTTGTTGTTGCATAGCTCTCATGGAAAGCTACTGTTGATTGCCTCAAAGTAGGGGGGAAAAAAATGTAAAAAGACAGGGAATGCAATCCACTGTGCAGAATCTTCTGTTATTTACTGCTGCATCCTATATGAGAAGGAGCTATATGAGGTTTTAAATAGTACAAAAGAACACTGCACATGAATGTTTCTCTCTGAGTCCAAAATATAGGCATTTAGACAACTGTAAAACCACAAACATGTTTTTTTTTTTAAGCAATTATGTTGTTCTGGCTTACAGTTAAAACTGCAAAAAGAGAAAATGCAAAAATCTTTACAAGCACACACATATTAAGTACTAACACAATCCAGCAGTAGTGATGATTTTTTTCAAGTGATAATTTTATCAATAATCATTAACCCACAGGGAAGGAGAAAGAATATAGCATTTATTACTATCAAGCAAGAGATGGTGCAGCTTCTGTTCATAGCATGCACCAGTGGAAGTAAAACCAACTGAATCAGAGATTTTCAGTGCTGCCTGGGGCATTTAGCCTCATAATTCCTGATATATTTCACCAGAAAAAGGGGGTTTTGCTCTCTGTCTAGATGAATATGAAAATTTCAGCCAGAGTTTTTGTAGCCACCCCTTAATAAAATAATTCAGGCATGTATGTAGAATGTGTTATTCTCAGCACTGAAGCACTAGGATATGAAAAGAAAACAGTACCCAGTGTAAAAATGAAATCAGTAATGTCTTCTTCCTTATCGTGTAAGAAATTTCCTTTCACTAGCTAGCACCCAGGAAAATCAGCTGTCCTTGCATTTCAGATAATTGCTTTTTGTATTGTGAATTTCTATATTTGTGCTAGTTGAAGTGAAAAAAAATATGCTTTGTGTAAATATTCTTCCTCCTTTCCATTTTCAAGATCTTCTCAATGGAGCCATCACATCTTTTTTATTGTGGTTTTGGAAATAGATGGACATAATTACCCGGGTAGACTCTTTTTGTCTTTGCCCGGGAGGCAGTGAATTATTTAGTCAGAGCTGAAGTAGTCAAAAGGTTCAAAAAAATCTCGCTTTTGTTCTTTGTTTGCAGATTTTATTCCTCACCGTACAGTATTCCAACAAACCGCATGATTCCACAGACATCAATCACGCCATTCATTGCTGCTTCCCCTGTCTCTACATATCAGGTACGTCAGATGTGCACTTGTCTACTGTGTTTCCCAGTTAATTATGTTTTGGATGTGGATGAAGGCAGAGTGTATACCACAGAAAATTGTGTGAGTGCTTGCACTCTTGAGTCACACTGAAAACAAAGGGCTCTCTAGTAATATTCAGGTATCATTCGGTAGAGTCTTAAGTGTTTCCTGCATTCTTTACAGCAGTAATGAAAGCCACTGTAATTCTTAATTTCAATCAGCTTCTCTGATAAACAACATTTTGCTTAATTTCCAATTGACAACACCAGAAGCTTATCATTCATATTGAACTGTTTCCTCATTTTGGCTTCCCTTCATTAGCCAAAATTTTTTTAAGTTTTTTTTTTAATAATTTATGATGACTGCATTATACTTTGATCTTTTGACCCCAGCTGTAATTTTTCCAGTAACTGCACCCTTTAAAAGTACTCGGTTTTATCCAATAATCCCTGACAAAGCAAATTACTTGAGGATAAGTATCCTCAAATCATTCTTTAGTCTGCTACATGGCATGTCATTCAGAATTTCTCTCTTCAGCATATCCCTCTCAAATCTCCACTGGGAAATTATTGTCTTGTTTTGGCTTTCTGAGATGGAAGTCAAAACCAGATTGTATATTTTTATTATTAGCCATTGTCTGGGAGCTTACCACTTCACAGAAGCTGGTCAGTGACTATACATTTTGCAGCTTTAGTTATTTCTCTCCTGTGCCATCAGTACTTTTCCAACCCTGAGTCTTACCTGAAATATGCTACCCAAATTTTCAAAGCTGCATGGTGGGTTGTTTTCAATGTTAGGGTGTTTTTGTTGGGGCTGGGGTGTTGCAGATGGTATGGTACTGCTTACAGGTAATTCTGGGGACTTACTCTATTTTAAACTTGATCCTCAAAGATAAATGATTCTTGTAATTCTCTTTGACTTTTGTTTTTATTTTATTTTAAATGGCTATGTAGCACTTGCCAAACAAAAGTTGTTTTGATGAGGTAAATTCAGTAAATTTCAGTAATGGCAGCACCAAAGAAGAGTCAATGCCAGAGACACACAAGTGCAGCTCACACGCAATTTTCTCGGTAGCAAAGCTGGCTTAAGAGCCATGCTACTTCCCTTTCAGGCCACTGAGTTCAGGCCACCCACCCACTTACTTTCATCACTGCTCCACAGCTCACAGTTGCTCCCCCTTTTCCCATTCTGGTTTGAACCATTGCATCAGTTTGTGGTTTCATGCATTTGCACCAAAACCATACATTTTTTTTATTTTTTTTTAACCCGTATCATTTTCCCTAGATAGCTTGCAGTGTAAGCCCAAAGACATTTTCCCTGGCACAGTGACAGAACTGCAGTGGTGCAAGAGTGGGAGCAATGAGCAGCAGCAATCTGTGGCAGCTCTAGTGCGTTTTAGCTCATTCACAGGGATTCACAGCAGAAGGTGTTGTAGTAGAGGTGTGTTCACATGTGGGTGTGCTGGCTTTGGTTCTAAAGATGTTTTGCTGAACTTGCTTTTCAACAAAAAATAGACTTTGATAAACATATACAAATGTTGGAACACACTGTTATACAATTAATTCCCAACACTTCATGAACAAAAGCACAGGGCATCTGGAAAAGTGGGACCTTGTAGCTTTCTCCTTGTTATTCCTGGTCGTGCTCAGTCTGAGATGCTGCACACCCATCTCTGTGACAGCAAGTGAAATGTCCTCTGATGGTAGTGTCCTCTGATGGCACTAGCACAGCTACATTTTTGTGTACTTGTGTGTTGTGGTGCCCAGACTGATGCAAAAGGAAACTAAAATACACAATTCTTGGGGCTGAGCCCGAGTTATGATAGCATGTGGACCATTCACACATAGCAAAAAAGGGAGTTACAGATCAGAGATGCCACCACAAATGATGCAAACACTCTATAATGTGTTTAATTCTTAGTAAAATTTTCATATCCTTGAAATATGTTCCATGCCAGTCATAAGGCAGAACAACAAAGCAAGTCTTTGGTGATGCATATGGAGTTCTGGTGGGAATAGACCCCAGGATGCTCAAAGTAAGAATGATGCTGGAGGGAAAGGCTTCTTAAGCCAGCTTTGCTGTGAAAGCTTTCAATTAGAATTAATTTTCAAAAACTCTGAATTAGATCTGCAGTTCTTACTGGAAACAGAACAAGTCATTCTGGGATCTCTGAAAATGTTATACCTTTAAAAGTTCATACAGATACTCTTGAAAATAAACTTTGGGCATTTTATGTCTCCTGCACTGTCGGTTGGATGACATGTTCATGATTATATTGATGGATGAAAGCAAACAATGCAAATGAAAAAACAGAACAACGTGGAATATTGAAGACTTCTTTATGAGATAAAATGTTGTGATTTATAGGAGGGGTGCAATCACTCAGACTTCTGACTTTGGTGGAAAACATTATCAAATGAAATTTGAAAGCTTTTTCCTTTGTCAATAACTTTACAAAGCATAAATTAATTTTGTGTTGAGTTATAGGACTTAAGTAATATTTTGAAGTAAAACTTTAAGTTTTAAATTTTCTATGCTAATTAAAAGTATTTGATGTGCAGGTCCAGAGTACTTCATGGATGCCTCATCCGCCATATGTTATGCAACCAACAGTAAGTGGATACTTGGTTATATCTGGCTAAAAGTGCTTCCATTGTAGCCTTGCTCTGCTTGTCCAGCCACATTAAAGTCCTGGGTCATGTAAGAGCAGCCAGCTGCTCCCCATGACAAGAGTCCTCTGCTGTTAAGTTTCTGTTTCCTTAAGGAGCACCAATTGATTTAGACAAAAGGGGAGGATGGGTGATCTGTTATCTAATTGCATTGATTGTAAGACAGTAACAAGTTCTGAAGTGTTGCTTCTGAAGCTCGGCTTCAGGGACTGCAAGATAACCGAATTCCTGCCTACTTTGAATTGCCAGGATCAACACATGACCATTCCCTTATATGTTTATCCATCAGAAACATCCTGTGCAGTTTTATATCAAGGAATCTCAGTGCCTCAGTAATGCATTTCAGCATAGTGGAAAAGGGTGAAGCACAACTGTCTTGGAGAGCCTCTACCAAATCTGAATCTGCTTTATGATTTAACCAGTCAACTCTTATTTTTTTTTTTTCCTGACTCATCTTTATCAATTTATAACTACTTAAAGCTGCATTATGTTTTAAGCAACATTCATTAGAAGTAGTGCAACTGATTTTTTTGTCTACCACTCAGAAGAGTTTTGATGCACTTTGCCTGAGTATTAAGAGTATACCAGGAGAAAACACCGTACTGAATTCTACTACAGACAGGTCATTTTAGTTACATTTCTACCTTTGGTGAGTTTTTCAGGTATACATCCACTTGACAGTGTCATTAATCAAAATTTAAATATATGTTCCACATAATCATCAATACATTGATTTATACAAGAAGAGTAAAATTAGAATGAAAGTCTATGGCTTAGGATTCTTTGTTACTCATATTTTTGTTTGAATATTTTGACTTCACATTAGTATAACTTCTGGTGAGAGTTAGCTCTACAGCAACATAGGTATGATTACATTACATATCTGTTTACTTGCACAAGTCTGTCATCCCAGTTTGTAGCCCCCTTTCCATACCCCTCAGCTCTTTGGAGGAAAGTTCTTCAGTTCTCTCACAAGGCAGGGACCATAGTGTGGTGCACTGGGCACCCAGTTCCTACTGCTGCTCATTTCTGCAGTCCCTGGGGGCACTTTCCATCTCAGTGGAGTAAAGCTGTTGCTCTATTCCTTGTATGGAGATGAAATTTATTGAACAAGCTCACAGTTAACATCAGTCCTGTATTCTAATATTTGGATTTAATAGCAGACCACAAGAAGTCTTAGATGTGTGTATATGATGAGTTATGAGACTTGTGGAAGCCAAAGAATCTCCAATCCTTGCAGAAAGACTCCCTTTCTAAAAGAAAAACCTAAACACTTCACCAGTTCCAGATTTTGTGTGTATATGTGTTTGAGTTTTATTTGGCAATATTGAGCAAAGCATTTTTCTGCACTACTAGGAGAGGTATGATGAGGTACTTGAATGTATTTACCCCTTAGTATGGACATGAAGAGAAAACTGTCTTATATAGTGAGTGGCACCCTCAAAATGCTGAGTTAAATTGGTGTTCATTGTCAACCAGAGAGTCAAAAAAAGGCAGTGTGACTCTAGGTGGAAAAGCAGAGGGACAGCAGATAAGTGATGTAGCATTTCTGTTCCAGTCTCATTGCTGTTGTGGGTTACTTCCTTGTGTTTTCTGTAGCAATCCTGGTCTCTTCACTGAAAGATTTTTCCCCTATGTTTCCAAAGATTATGTTCTTAAAACGACATGAGGCATTTAGTAACTAAGAAGCATTACTATGTAAAGGGAGAACTACCATTCCCCAGTTTTCATTCAGAGACAAATTCTTTATTAGAAATGTCTGAAAACTTGTCAGAGCATTACCACACAGAGAATACTGGAGACTTCAGAATTAATGGTCTGTTTTGAACGGAAATGAAGTATCTGTGTTCATTTTAAGCTTCTGTACTTTCATGCCTGACTATAGACTCTATTCTAGGCACCTCCATAGCTAAAAAAAAAAAAAAATAAAGACAAGATTACAAGAAAGTTTGCAGAATTAAGGATGTGAGTTTTGGTAATCCTGTGAGCTGATTAAACTGGGAACTTTCTAATTTGGTTAGCTTTTTATTTCTTCTTGTAATCTAGTTTTCCATGTTATTATCTAAATTGCCACCACTTTGCTTCATAATATTTTATGAGCTGATTGATTGTGGCATGTGATGTCCCCCTGGACACCACTGCAGATAAATATTACATTCCCCTTGCCCCAGGAAGGAGAACATTTTGTTAAGCCTCTATTATTCTTTGTCAGTAGAGATGAACTCATACAGAAAGCACAGTTTGAATTGCTCAAACAGTGGTGGTTAATTCTTTGTTTGGATTATAAGTATCCACTAAATCATGTTACTGGATGATTAGCTTTTCATTTCTGACAGAAAGTCCTACTTGATATTTATGTATAATTTAACATCACATAGTATCCCTCATGACAAAAAGGCAGAACCGTGCTGTAGAGGTTTCTCACTCAGTGTGCTGTGCACAGACAGGGCAGAATTTTCCCAGCTTGGCAGGCTTGCTGACAGGAGGGAAGAGCTGTGCTGCACAGTGCTACCATCCTGTGTCTGCCTGTCCCTCCTCTGCCTGCCCATCTCATCTCCCTTCCCACCTGCCTCCCTGTGCAGCAAATACAAAGCTCTTTCTTCAACGATATTCCCTGCAGTAGGTTGGCCTGCCAGACATTTTTCTCTTTTATTTCCCTTTGTATATTGATTTCAGCCACATTTTCCTGATGTGTGCATGTGTGCATTCTGCATCCATTTACTTGGTGGATTGAAAAGCCCACTATAGTAAAAGATTGTATCTCCAATTCCTTCTGTAGCTTTGTAACTACAACCAGATAAACTTCTAACCCTAACAAACAAAAATTACATATATATTAACTGGAAAATATTTGTGTATACTGGTTTCCCTTCTCAGCCTTGTTTGCCTTCTTGCTTCTGTGGTACCCTTAAAAACAGAAAACAACCAAAATTTCTAAGAAAATAATGGTCAGAGTATTTTTGTCCTAAAATGAGAAAGTCAGATGAACAGTCAAGGACTCTGCAGGTATAGAACTGATACTGTAGGGTGTTGCTAATAAACAATGGCAGACACAATTTTTAAAGGGGTTTTGTTTTTCGTTATCAGTGATTTTTGCTGGTCTTACTCCAAGAGCCATGGAAAAAATATATCATACAGGTTGAGGTAGCATTGCTATTTCTGAATAAATAGTATTGAAAATAAACTTCTGCTGGCATAGTAGGGTCATACACGAAAACTTCTCACATCTTAATGCTTACAGAACTTTCAGGGTTTTGGAAATTGCTGAATCATGTGGACATGATGAAAAATCTACCTGCAGGTTTATGTGTGACTCAGACACTTTTGAAAAACGCACCCTTTGTGAATTAAACTTTCACCACTTTTCATAATATTGATTTCACTGTGTCAAAGAAAGAATACCTAAAATTTGGCAGTTTCATTGCTTTGCCATGTGCCCTGGTCACTCTCCACAGTTTTAATGGAAGATGAGCTCCAAAAGAGTTATAGCAGTGTGAGCTTGGATTAAAATTGGCAAAACATTTAATGCACTGCTGGTAGCCCAGGCTCAGTTTAGCTAACCATATCTTTCAAAGTACAGTGCTTACTCTTCTGTGTTTGAAACAAGTCTTGTATTTCATTACTGCCTCAGGATAACGATAGATGGATAGTGATGACAGAATCAAAACATAAATGGGATAAGAGTTATTCTGGAGACTTATAACATTTGCCATATTATTGTGTTTTTCCTGTTGTCCCTGAAGGCTGTTTGACAGTTATGGGGATACTTTAAAAATCATGTTTACATGTCAATCCACTTGTACACCAATCTCATTTTTACTGATAAGGGCACTTGTTCAAAACATTTTGATTCAAATCTTTATTACAGAAAATGCATGTCCTCTTCCTCCTTAAAGTCAATTTTTTTCAGTGAACCAACAGAAATGCACTACCCTAATACTCAACGTACACACTGGTTTTACACTTACCCTCTTTTGTTTGCAAGTAAAACTGTGTGACCGTAAGTAATCACTGGGTATGCACAGATAGATATTCTTGTCAGTCTGGAATAGTTTCTACATAATAGCTGGAGAAGAAGTATGCCAGTGGCAGTAGGAAGGATGGAAGCAGAGCAGCATATGGAAAAATCTACCATTGGATATGATAAAGTATGTTGGGTAGAACTTCTGTTCTGGAAGTTTCTTAAGCCCTTTCAGTCCTTCTAGAAAGGTCAATGTCTTAACAAACACCCTTATTATATTTTTCTGTCATCCTTCCTGTGGCCCATGGCTGAATGTAATCATCTGAATGTAATCCGTCTGTCATTAAACGCATCAACAAAAACATGTCTTATTTCATAAGCAGTGTAAAACTTCTAGTTTGGTGAGAAGCAAGGCTAAGGAGTCCAGATTCTTGCCTCTTGATTGTTGTGCATGACTGTAGTAGCATAAAAGGTACAAATTGTTCAACTGAAATGGATCAGTTTTCATTTTCTCACTAGCGGCTCTGCTGTTTTGGATAATACCCAAAATACCACAGCAGTTTCAGTGTTTTGATTCCTACACTCTGGAACAAAAAAGTTCCTTGTGCTCCAATCCGCATCCCTCTCCCAAGATGGCTTTCTCTACCTCACATTTATTGCTCTACCTTTTTAGTAAACAGAGCCAGGAGTCTATCTTAAGTTTGCCTGTTTGAGTGTAAGAAAACAAAGTATGTCCTCTTCAGACAGTTGACTCCTGCGTCCAAGATGAAATGTGAGAATTCAGCTAGCTGGTATGAAAAGTAAACAGGAAATAATCCTTAGAAATTGGAATCTCCAGCAAGTCTTTCAACTTCTAGCTGTGTGTTTTTAAGAGATCCTTTGAACGTGAACTTACTTGAACTCTTAAGGCTAAAGTGTTTAGAGGTTGAAATAACTAACCAAATACCAATGACAAAGTTCTGCTGAGCAATTTTAATTCCAG